ATATAATCAACCTCTCAATAGTATAAAACAGCTGTCGAAAGCATTTTGTTTATTAAACACGACATTATGATGAATTGAGCAAAGCATCAAGGGTCTATTCCAAATCGATGTATTTTAAGGAATCCTTGGGGACATGCTACCGGTACCTTCTCTGTCAAACCAGTCAAAACAGCCTAGTAAGTCTGAAACAGCTGACACTGTCCTTGACTCAAGGTTTTGAATTTTACATAAGACTATGCCATCCCAGACTATAATCTCAACATGTATGTTATTGAAATGGAAGAAAAATTTCACTAACAAACAGACACTTTACCTGTGAAATCCTTTCTTGGCAAGAAATCTAGTCACAACAACATTGTACAAACCGTGCTGACAAGCCGTAGACAGGTGAAAAACACAAAGAATGATAAAATATATAGATAAATACATGTCACATATATTGATATCTATGACACACTTTGATTATTTCAGCAGCATTATGAAGACTACAGTTCCTGTCATAATTCTGTTGCCGCCATTTTGAAAGGAACAGTTTGCGGAGGACTGGGAGGTAAACTTACACAGGGTACCCGGTCTTTCGTCATACTTACAGGTGCAATAATGAAAATATGAAATTTGTAATATGAAAACTGAATTTTTAACTATTTTCAGTCGTAGTCAGATTTATTACAAACTTCTCTCAATTTGGGTCTCCCATAATCTTAATTGTTAGCTGTTTTGCTCGGAATCCCCAGAATTTCATACACATAAACTACCGTTACCGTTTGACTTGCATTGTAAATAAAAGGAACTAGAAATTATGATTTTTTAAGTGTGAAAGAATTGTTAACCTTACTCAGATACTCCACCGCAAATACGAGTGCAATATCCTAACATAGTGATTGTTCCCGTCTGCACACAGGCCAAAGATGTCAATCGTCACTGGCGGAGTTTCTCAACATATGCAACTAAAATGCGGCCAACAATTAGTGTGGGATTTTTCCGCGCTAACATTTGATTTTGTTKTGCATACAATGCTGGTTGCTGATGTGCGCAATATTTGCAATCTACGCTTCTTTCTGGACACAACCGAGTGTGATGATTCATACGTGAGTCAAGTACACGAGAATGATTGTTTTCGGTTCTTTATTTTCTATTTTACAATGTTCTTTAGAGCTTGAATAATATGTTAAAATACATAGTTCTCTAAATATTTCATAGATGACTTAATTTATATTAACTTTCTTTGTATAGTCGTTGGACGATAAATCGATTGTTTTTTTCGCTTTCGTTCTCTTATCCATGCAATTTGTGTTGCATGTTTT